ACTGAAGTTAGCTTTGAACCAGTAGACAAGGTGTGGTTGTATAATCCCAGGAAGACCAAAGGAAGTCTCCTAATTTGTCTTCTCCATGGGAAGGCCCATATGACATAGTGGATCGTCTCTCAGACGTGACTGTCCGAATTAAATGTGTCTGCTGATTCGATGAAGCTATCTTATGATAAGAGATCTACTGAAGTTAGCTTTGAACCAGTAGACAAGGTGTGGTTGTATAATCCCAGGAAGACCAAAGGGAAGTCTCCTAATTTGTCTTCTCCATGGGAAGGCCCATATGACATAGTGGATCGTCTCTCAGACGTGACTGTCCGAATTAAATGTGGTCGGCGAGGTAAGCCAAAAGTGGTGCATGCCAACAGGCTTTGGCGTTATCACGGTCCAGGACATTTCAGTTGGGATGAAGTGGACAACAGAACAAATGACACTGCTGAAGACGTGCCACCTGAAGAAGCAACCGTCGAAGAATAAACTCTACTCGGTTTTGAGAAGGGAAATGGTGAAGCTCTTGACAAAGTTACTACCACTGATGTGACTCTTACCGACGATAGGACATTTCCTGATGAAGCAGATGAACCCCACGTGAACCAGAATCCAACGAGACGGAGACCAGTACGGAAGAAGATACGTCCCGTAAAATTAAGAGACTTTGTTGAATTGTAATTTTGTGTTTGTAATTCTGTACATTTAATTAAGTTATTGTTAATTGTTATTGGTTTAATGTAAGTGGCTATTGTTCGGGACGAACAATACTAAGGAGGGGCAGTGTTATTTCTATGTAAATTTCCTTGACTTATGTGAAAGTCTTTCTCATATTAAGTGTTTTGAATAACAGCATATTGTTACGTCTCCGTTCGTTAGTTAATTTTCTGTAAATTCTTACCGAAGAAACTTTACCGATACAAGTCCTTTCTTAAATAAAACTGGTTTATTCTTTCTGAATATAACTTTGCAATACCCCCAATCTAGTAGTCTCCTGACAATTCACGAAGGTTCGAGAAGGACGTGGCATAATACTAGTCACGTGACCTCGCTGATGCCAGTGCTGGATTCGTTACAGTAGGTGTCTGTGACTTGTTGGCAATACATTTCAACAATAAATGGACAGCACACAATCCACTTTTTTGAAAATAATGTATTCAAAACAAGTCAAACATATGTACAAAAATTCGTTACACTGTTGGCTACCACAGTTGTATCCAGAGCTTTTGTCTTATTTTCATCAAAGTACACACAATCAGATTCAATTACTTTAGAACACCATTTGACAAAAATTATTCTCTTCTGCTATATTGTTACAATACAAGGATGTGACACTCACTTTAGAAATCACCAGTTATGGCTAAATTGACTTCACTTTTATTTTCACTTTCACCAACTTAACTTCCTTGAAATAACTTAAACTTCTATGAACAGTTGTGTGACAAGGATTCAGGTGTAGATTCATTAGAAGTACAAATTAGTAACATGATGTAAGTTCACAACAATTGAACTATACAACAAATGATTCATAAACAGTTATGTAACTAAACCTGCAATAAGTTATTGCCTCTAAAAATACTAAATTTAACACTTGCGCTTCATAATTATCTAAATCATAACTCTTTTATTAAATTTAAATGAAACAGTCGTGAATATCTAACAATATGTATGAAACAAAGTATTGTTAAGTTGATTTTGTGACCTTATTTCAGTATGTTTTTAATTATACTATGTAAAATTCCAAAACCTGACAAATATTAATGTTAAAATTTTATAACATTGTTTTTCAAGAACATCATTTGGTCTTGAATTATTATGTTTGGAATTTTAATGAAAAATAATAATCTGAACTCTCTAACATTATGAATACTGTATTACAGTACAAACATTTGACAAATTATAATGCTTCTTCACCACTTTACAGCTTGTACTTCTAGTGAGCCTACACCTTAATCCTTGTCACACAACTGTTCATAGAAGTTTAAGTTAATCCTTCATTTATTCATGCAAGGAGATTTTAGAACATGTTATTCATTAAATACTTCCCGCATCATTATCCCATCATTCCTCTTTTCATCAAGTACATTTAATAAAGTATGGTTATATCACAAGTAATAATTTATTGAAATGCATTTTACATTTTAAAAAGTTGCACGATATATAACTTACTTTTAAAACTTAGACAAAGAGAGATAAAAAATTCAGGTTTTTAAGGAGTCCTTAGAGGTTATTCTGATTAAAACTGAATGAAACTCTGTATTTTGCAACTCACCACCAGAAGCTAAACAAGTGTGTTCACAATCTCGTCTATTCTCAAACCGATTAGCATTTCCCTCGCACCCTCCATAATAAAACTGTTCACAACGGCGAGTTTGAGAGTTGAAGTACCAGTAAATCAAGAATGCTCCACAAGGTCCAGAAGACTTGGTTAAGGAGCAGATATCGCTGGAAACTAAAAATTAGATCTTAAACAATCTATGTTTTTTTTTACATTCAAACTATATTTGAATTAAGGAAACACTGACATATACTCTCAAAAGTGTATGGTTCAGTAATTTCTGGTATCTAAATTGTTCATTTAAGTATGCTTTTTACAAAAAACTTGAGATTTTAAAGAATAATGTGTATTAGCAAGTTGTTTAAAGTGTAAATATTTGTTCAAAAGCGACAGCTCTAATTAAATGGAGCAGACAGTAAAGTCTGGTATCAGTCATAGCCATCTAATTTAGAGTTCAAAGTACATGTACAGAATAGAATGCAGTGCATAAGAAACATTTAAACTGTACTGCAAGAGGTCTGACTGAAAATGCGTGTTATATAGCTGATCTGTAGGTCAAAGCAAGAAGTTTGCTCATTTACAGATATCCTCAATAATAATATCTTCACTGTATTGCACAGTCCCAGAAATCAGGTGATGGCTTGCCATGTAGTAGATACGAAGTCATCATTACAGCAGTATTTAAGAAAGGATAAACATTACAAATGTATGAGGTGATGGAAAGTCCTACAAGTTACTTAAGAAACACAATCAGTACTAAGTTTAAACCTGGTAGAACCATAGTATATAAGCTGTAGCACTTTGGCTGAAGTTGGTTAGTTAGCCTTACATCCTGTACAAGATTCTACACCAAATTCATAACTTGCGGAACCCTTCAACTTTGCAGAATTGTATAGTATTTAAAGTAAAGTAAGAATGTAAAAAAATTAAGAATTAACTAAAGTTATATACTATGTAATATTCAATAAGAATCAACCTTTTATGAACTTCACCATATTTGACATTGATGAACTTTTAACAGATGTATATTTATTCTGTCTCTTTGACTCTCATCTAAACCTCCTCGAGCTTACAACATTGAAAATTGCTTCTGACTGCTTATTCTTGGTATTTCAAGTACTACATAGTTAATTTCTAATTTGATTTTCATACCAAAATGACAGAGAGCTAACTATCAAATCATACACAAATGTAAATATATTTGTACCTAGTTTTTTTAAAATATTTTTATTTCAATTCAAAGAAGACTATAAAACATCATGCATGATAGTTCTGTCTTAATGCAACTAAATTTGGATAGTTAGGAAAGTAACAGCAAAATCTTCTTCCTAGGACAGAAACCTACTTATATTAGCTTATATATGAACTCAATTAATCTTTTCCAGGCAGCTCTTTGACAATGCCACACCAGATAATAATAATATTAATTTATTTGTTATTCGTTGATGAACGGTGGTAGTAAAAAAACAAAGCTATTGGTAAAATTTATTCTATGAAATTATGAAATCACCTGATATTTTTGTTACATTACAGATGTTTTCACACTGTTCTCTGCTAGGAAAGCGATTTCGGTTGCCCTGACAACCGCTGTAAGAAAACTCTTTACATTGTTCTGACATGAAATCATAATACCAACGAACCAACTTCCCACGGCATGGGCCTTCTGCTTTAGGCAGTACACAAATTTCTAGAAAACAGAAAAGGACTTTAGATGTTTATAAAGTTAATTTTACTTGATTAGATCTCTTAACTGTACATAATCTCAACCACTTGAAAGTAGTAAAACTGTCAAAGAAAGATGTTGAACATCTAGCTACATCAAAAGGTTGCCACAACATTCTTAAAATATGGCACTTTGGCAATATGATTCTTAAATAACAGAAATATATATAACATTTCTAGTTAATTTAAACAAAGTAATGATAGTTTTACAAACTGTCTTTTAAAAATAACAGAACACTTATTCCACATTCAAATTGTGGTTTAGCCACCACAAAACAATATTAATTCTTCAAATGTCAACATATAGCAACCTATATATAGAGCATTAGTTAATTTGTAATTTATTAATTAGATAAGACAACATAGAATAGCTTATTTCAAGCTAAAATTCTATAATTTATCATCACTCTTGCATCACTCCTTAGAATTTCTATAGCAAAATATCTTTTCCACATTAAGCATAACTTCATGGTTGTTATTTGTATCTAGCATGAATATACAAAAACAAGTGTTTTATTTATTTGATAGTTAAACAATATAAATTTATTAAAATGATAGTAATAATTTTATACAATTCCCAAAAATGCATTACCTTTGGCACCAAGTGTAGAACATCTTTGTTGACACTGACTTTCAGTTACAAAGTTATTTTCATTTCCTTTGCATCCTCCATATGTGAACTGTTTACATCGACCATCAAACCTATCATAGTACCATCGTGAGAAAGAACCCCTACATGGTCCAACAACTAAAGGCTGCTCACAAACATCTAGAAAGAAACAATGTAATTTATTTTTCCACTGGGAATACAAAATAAAGCAAAAATATCACAATATTGGTTTTATAAATGACAAGAACATTTTGGGCTTTATCTGGTGTCTTAAAAAAACTACAGGTTAAACTATGAATCATTAGTGTGGCTTTTCAAAATTAATATTTTCATAAAAATATTTCCAAGTAATGTAATATTATATATTTAGAGTTACTGTGTATTTTACAGGCAGCTAAAAAAGATTAATATCAGATGAAATTATGACAGAATCAATAAAAATGAATCTTGTGTGTGCAGCACTAACACACACACACACACATGCAATATATTTTTCTACACTGAAAATACATTTCGAATAGGTACTTATATCTTCTCACATAAATAGCTATTCTTGTTCAGTGCTACCCTCTATATGCAAAATTCTTTTTTGATTGCCACAAGCCTTGAACTCCCACGTACCTTACAATCAACTTGTTCAAATGCGTCTTGCATGTAAACCATCATGTGACAACTCTCCACCAATAAGAGTGTGACACACTCTCCTGATACATGTGACTCCCTCTATTTGATTCTACCAAACTATCACTTTGAGGTTTGGCAGAAAATGGAAGCACTGGTTTTCAGTGGGGAGGAAGGGTGGGAAGTGTGAGAGGAGGTAAGTACTTATCAGAAATATATTTTCAGTATAGGAAATTTATAACTTCCGATACAGTACATTATCTCCGCTCACATAAATAGCTAGAATCTCACATTGAATAGGTGAAGGGACCAGTGTGAGGAAAAAACAAAGAAGCATTCCTCAACAGCATCCAAAGAACATCTTAAAAGAATAGATCCTCACAGTAAAGGATTATACTTGGGAGACAGCACTACATCTGTACCAGGTATACTCTTCGTCCAGTGTGGAATGAGGTGTCACAGACATGGGCAGAAAAAAAGGAAGGAGCACATCCCTACGGGAGAGAACACTGGTAGGATAGGGATCTGTACCACCATATAACAAATCTTAAACCCACAGAGTACTGGAATATTGGTGAAAGTAAAAGGATGTGTCCCTAGATGTAGAGTGGCTAGGGCACAACAGATTGTACACAGCAAGTCACCTGCATCCAAAACCCATACTGCCGGGAACTGACATCCACGTGGGGGGTAGAATAAAGATCATCTTGTTAGTAAGTCAACTACAATCCAAAACCCAGCCACTGGGAACCAATATCCATGTGAGGGTAGGAAAGAGGATCATACTGTCTTTACCTCAAGTTCAGCAGACCAGAGGGAATCTCATACTCCCCGAACTATGAATGGAACACATGATAGGAGTGTGATAAATTGTTTGACCAATCCAAGAACCTGACATCAGAAGGATCGATATAGTAAAGATGTCTCTGTAATGTAAATTATCTCACTCAAAACCAATCCAACAGAAACTGTCCCTAGTGCAATAACATTCTTGGTATAAGAAAATCATCGAGGGATTGCGTAAGAGGAAGAACCATATTAATCAGTAAATACAATCACCACAACACAGATGAAGGAACCAGAGTATAATTGAGTGAGGAAACAGACACACCTATAATACATGTTGGATGTCAGTTCTCAGTGGCTGGGTTTTGGATTCAGAGCTGAACCAATCAACATATGTCCTCAATGTTGCAGTAGGATGAGGGATCCCAATCAAAGGGGTGAACTGCAATTGTGATGGCTCACTCTAAAGCTACCACATCCACTCAGATAAAACCCATACAGAAATGGAGCATCAGATTGGAGGACATCTCATCAACTACACCAGCAGAACACCACCACCGTACTGTCAACTGAATGGATTTATCATTATATGTATTGTCTATAATTATCATATTCAGGAGAATGCCTCCATCGTCCATCACCCTAGCAGCTTGGAACTGGAAAGTGGTAAGGACTCCTATACTCCACTGGAAGAAAAAGGAGGAGAAAATGTGGTGGAAAGTCTGTAGGAATGACAACACTGGAGACAGTGCAATGGGTGCCCAAAAACCCTATTTTGAAAAGCAGACCATACCTGATTTATTTAATCAAAGGCATGGCAGGGATGGGCAGCTATCCCTTTCTGCTTTACCTAAGAAGTTCATGGGTGAGTATGGTCTGGAATAGGCATATTAATGAAGCAAATATACTGCAAGGACAACCCTACAAGTAATATTGTGGAACACCCCATCTCAACAGTGAGCATGTTATAGCCATGGAAATTAAAAGTAAGCAGTCAACATGGCTTGACAGTGATGATTTGACTATGTGAAGCATACCTGTTCAGACACCACTTGCCACAGAGCATGATCAAGGCAGTAAGAAAGGAAAAAACCCTGAAAAATAAGATATATAAAATATAATTTACCCAGTCACAGTCTCACGAAAGTCTGAAGAATGGCTACAGGCATATAAAAATAGCTCAAAGATGAAGACACAGTAGGGTAATCCACATGCCTGATTGAAGAATTTCCTCCAAAGGATGCGTGCTTCTGCTCCAGCTCCAATCTACCCCTTCATTACCTCTTCCTCTTACTCCATCCTTTCTCCATCAACCTTGGTCACCAGCATTTCATCCAGCCTTTCATACCCTCCATTTTCATGCCTTGTATTTATCCAGTCCCTGGCGAGGAGATTCAGTTTGTCCTGGCAGGTCTCTTCTTTTTTAGCTTGTGCTATTTGCCCTTCCTTTAGGGATGTTTATCAATGTAAGTGGAACACTTTCTGCCATTGGTCTTTGGGTCAGGGGTTTTCCCTGTACAACCAACTGTTCCTCACATTACGGATTCCCTCACTTGGCTGTTGGATCAGAGGTCTTCTATCTCCTTGATCATGGGTTATCTAGCTGCCTTATGCCACACGTTTTGTTTTTCCTGGTACCTTAAACTTATTACCTCTTCTACCCTATCCCTCTTATTGTGTTCCTTCTGGATTAGTCTTCCATCTTGCCATGCAGTTCTACTGGATTGGGATTTTGATGTGGTTCTTCACTGCCTCACTTTGCCTCTGTTTGAACCTCTGTCCTTGTTATCGATTTTTCATATATATCTTAAGACTTATTTCCTTCTTCTGTTAATCTATGGACATCATCAGTTTGATTTATTTGCCATTAAAGTTTCACATGCTCTATATCATTTCACATATATTTTTTCTCCAGATTGATCTTTCCTTCCCAAAACTTCAGCAGCTTGGGAGGGTTATCCCTTCCTTTATCCTCAGTCAGATCTGGTTAGGCTACTATGTCCTGTCTGTGCTCTTTGTTGTTATTTTGCTTGCACATCTTACTTCCATGGTGCCTGTTACCACTTATTCATTCCTTGGTAGACATCTTCTGTTTGTGACCTTTCTCCTTCCACCCTGACCAGTTGGATTCAGCTTTTAATTTGATTGGCTTAATCTTCTTTATTGTCGTCTTCCTGTAATTTGTTTCAGGTGTCTTCTCATGAGATCAGGCACCTTACCTTTTCCCTGGTGACTCATCTCCAGAACCACAGTTGTGCCAGACAGTATGGAGCAATCAGAAGGACTTGACAAGGAGTGACATGGATGATTGAGATCACCGTGGGAAGAAGAAGGATGGGAGATAAACATTCAAGTATTTGTTGGTCCAATCTTGACTAAAGGCATCGACAGCCAGAGCATGAGGAGAAACTGGAGACCAAAACAGAGGTAATTTGGTATTGAGGGGTGTGGCAAACACAAGGAGTACCCCATTGAAGGCATAGCCACATGAAAACAAGAGTATCAGGAGACCACTCCATTGGATAAACTTTGTTATGACAGGAAAGGCAATCTGCAACAAGACTGAGCCACCCAGAACCTGACATGCAATGATATGAATACAAAGCATGTGGGCCCAAAAATGGAGATCCAAAGTCCGACCACAAAGGGAATGAGAATAGGTGCTACCTTAGTGATCGAGATAAGCCATCACTATAGAATTATTGAAATGGATCATGACCAGACGATTCCTTGCAAGATGAAAAAAATAATCCAAGGCAAGATGTACAACCAGAAGCTCTAGGATGTTGATCTGGTAAGATCTTATGGCCAGAGACCACCAACTTGAAGCCTCTTGCTGATTGACACATGTGCCCCCACCGGCCATGAATACAAGCGTCTGTGAAGATATGTAAATCCAGATGAGGGGGAGGAAGTGGGACACCCACTGACTTGTGAGCCTTGTCCAATCACCAATGTAGATCACCTACAGGGGAAGGAGGAAGGCAAATTGGAGCCTTCAATGGATCTCATGCAAGATTTCATTGGTTGTGCAGAGTCCACTGAAAAAACCTAATATGCACTCAACCCAAGTGGATAAGGGCTTCCAAGGATTATCACATCCCCAACAGTGATAGAACCTCATGAGCTGTAAGAGAGGGAATGGTAAGGGCATGGAGAACTGAAAGCTCCATCGCATTAAGTTCAGGAGGGGAAGGTTAGGCCCAAATGAAATGAGTGTTGAAAAAGACACCCAAATGGACGAGATAATGGGTAGGTATAAGGAATAACTTCTCCAATTTGATTAACCAACCCACACAAGCTGCCTCCATGAGCAGCAGATGAGTGTGATGGGCAGACTCCTGTTCAGAATGAGCTAACAGAATCCAGTTGTCCATGTAATGATGGAAGAGCATCCCCTAAGCATGCAAATGTTGGGCAAAAGTCCTGATCACCGACAAAAAAGATACAAAGCTGAATCAAGCCCAAAGGGCAGAGCACAAAATGATAAACTATCCCGTGAGGAAAGAATCAAACAAAGTACCTTGACTGATGAGATATAAGGACATGCAAGTAAGCATTCAAAACATCTACCTTAGTCATCCACAAACTCTGAGTAAAAGCCCACCTGAGGGTGAGAAAAGACTCCATGGTAAATCAGAGTATAACCAAAAATTGATTGAGGTGGGAAAAATTGATCACAGGCTGTAGGTCCTTGGTTTTCATGGATATCACAAACAGCCTAGAATAAAAACCTGGGGAAGTATGATTGACAAGTTCAATGGCCGTCTAGGAGAGAAGATCTTATACCACCTTGGACAGACGTGGATTGGTGGTAGGATCCCGAGGCAATGGAAAGGAAACAGGTATCTGAAATAATGGATAACAGATAATAGTAGGATAACCCACAGATCTATGGTGAAAAGTCTCCAAAGGGGAACAAAATCGGTGAATCGAGCCTCCATTGGAACTGAACTAGCTGAGTAGTCACTGGTATTGTTGGTGACGTGTCTATCTGCATCAAATAAAACAATCAGATGAAGAACCCCTAAAGGTAGGAACAGGTAAAGGCTGGGAAGGAGCTAGACAAGTAACAGTAATAGGGGCACGTCTAAGCTCACAATGAGACAAACAATCCACCAAAGAGGAAAGGTTAGATTGTTGTCACACCAATTCCACATGAGATTCCAAAGTCTCAGGAATATTATGAAAAAAAATACTGTAGAAAATGGGCAACATGTAAGTCCTGGAGATAAGTAGGCAGTAAATAAACTTCGGATAAGGCTGTGTACCTCCTCAGGAGATCCCTACAACAGAGAAACCACTTGCGTAAGGATTGAGCCAAAGAAGACAAACGTGCCAATGTGGAGGTAATCAGGGAGAGGCAATCCCTTGAAAACCCCTCAGGATCTATGTGGATCACTTCGGAAAGAAGGTAGATGGTAAAAAAGTACTGTAGGAGAGTTGATAGGGTAAGACGAAGGCGGGAAAATTGGGCATGGAATAAACAAACAGGATGATTAGAATCTGCCCCACACACAGAAAAATTCGATTCTAAGTGTTGAGAATTGAGAAACAGACATTCAGCCTGATGATAGGCCAAGGCAAACTGATCCGAATCCCGTCGAGGGTGAGGCATGCTGGCAACATCAACCATCTGAGAAACAAAATGCTCAGCATGAACCCTAATATCCAGGGAATAGGGGGAAAACAAATACTGAGAGGAGGAGGTATCATGTAACAAAGAAGGACAGAGATCATGCTAAATCAGGTAAATGGGTAAAATAGAACATACCTGAGAAATCATGTCTAAAAAGGCCATATTGGGCCTAGCTGATTCTGCAGTAGGGGCATAGGAAGACACAGCAAAATCAGGTGGAGGAAAAAGGTTGTCAAAATCCTCATTGACCCGAACAGGTTTGGCATGTTCAGGAGGAATAGGGACAAGATCAGGAGAAGAAGGTTGACTCATATAATGAGCAATCTCATGGCAGATGATAGTCGATAAATCCAAAGACGAGTCACCCCCACCTGTAGCCTGTGTGAAAGTGAAGTAGAAGGTATTATCTCTGAAGTGGTAACCTGAACTTTGGAATTAAAATCAAATACAATTGTTTGATTGAGAGAAAAACAATTAAAAACTGGGAAAATAAGTTACTGAAAAGTCACTAACTGTTGAAAAACAAAAAAAAATCCACTTCAGAATAATAACCAAAAAAATCACAAAATTGAACAAATTTGAGGAGCACAACAAAAACGTCTTGTCACGAGTAGTTTGGTAAGATCGAATAGAGGGAATCATGTACATCAGGAGAATGTGTTGCACTCTTGTTGGTGGAGAGTTGTCACATGTGAGATGCATTTGAACCAATTGATTGTAAGGTATGTGGGAGCTCAAGGCTTGTGCCATGCGAAAAAAAAAAGTTTGCATATAGAGGGCATCACTGAATGAGAATAGCTATTTATCTGAGTGGAGGTAATTTACCATATCAGATATGGTACATTAGTAATATATATCTAGATATATGGTAACAAACCAAACAAAATATTTTTCAATATACTACAAACAATTCACATGATTGCCTAACATTGATCAAAAACGTCAGGAAACACAAACTTTCTTTTAAAGTTCAGTCCCCTTAATAATTTAAAGGAGAAGCACAAATTATAATCTATATATCCCACAATGATCCTAAAATCAGAACTCCATGCAAATTTCTTGAAGTAATATATGAAAAAAAACATCAGAATAAACAGAAGTAAGAACTATTCTAAATACTTACACAAAACAGTTAAGTACTAAATCATTAATGGAAAGAGACCAACCTTATTATTAAAAATTAAAATAGAAACTAATTAATTAATTTAACATATCACACATTATTAAAGTTTCTTACAATGTCATGATTTATTCCATATATTTCTTAAATTATTTTGGTGTATAGAATTGGTTGGATGTAAAAAAAAAGTATCTAAAATGAACATACCAAGAAAATCCTGAGTGATACATGTTTCTTCGCAAATTTCCCTACTAATGTATCTGTTATTGTTACCAAGGCAACCACTGTAGTTAAATGCTTCACACTGCCTTGTTTCTACGTTGAAATACCATGCTTTATATGGAGCATCACATGACCCTTGAACTTTGGGTAAAGTGCAGGCATCTAAACAAATATGGAACTTTTAATAAAATCAACCATCCATCTATTTTAAAATCACACCACCTGCATGTGTGTGAAAGCTTCATTAATTAATAAAACATTTTTACAGGTGTTTAAAGCATATTCACTTTTATTCCTACATCTGTATGAAATACATTTAGTTTTATTTCTATCCTTTTATCGATTACATTCAATTTTACTCTTGCTCCTCTATGAAATCCATAACTTTTTACTCCTACCTATGTATGAAAGATATTAACTTTTACTCCTATATGAGAAACATTCAATTTGAAACCTGCTTTTTCTGCCAAAAAGAGTCTGAAGTTAATGGTTAATAATTAACTCATATTGAAAAGTCTTACTAGTAATAAATATGAAAAATAAAGTACATTAAGTGATCATATTTCTAAGTAGATGATACAAAAATTTCTAAATTCTAAGAACTTAAGAGTGAAAGCAAAGAAGATATCAATTTATTATATATATATATAACAAACATTTTACAAGTATTACATGCAATATTATAAAGCTTTGGTATTTTCATTATTCTTACCTGCTCCTTTTGGATCAACACAAATCTTTTTACAGTCTTCTTCTGAATTGAATCGATTTCCATTGCCCTCACATCCCCCAAACCAGAACCTGGAGCACCCACCATATTCCATGTCAAAGAACCACTTAACAGTGTAATCACGGCATGGTCCAAGCTCCTTAGGTAGCTTGCAAACTCCTAGATAATGTTGAAAACAGCTAATATTATCAGTTCATCAATATATGTTTGTAACTAAATTTCAATTTATTTTGTTTTTTTACAGAATTTCTTTGCAAAATTATGAAAAGAAGAAGAAAAAACTCTCCAAAGTTTATCAGTTTACCTCCAGTGACTTCAGGGTCAATTCTGGGACTTTTGGGGCATCCTTCAAAATTAGGTCCACTGGCTATGAGTGTACCATCAGGACAACAACCAAACAGTGTGTCCACACAGGAACAACCTTCATAATTTGGTCCTTTAGCCACTGTTATACCATCTGAACAGCATCCATAAGGCATTGTAGAACAAGCACAACCTTGATAATTTGGTCCTTCAGCTGGAGTTTTTCTATCTGGACAGCATCCATATTGTAGGAGGTCACAAGCACAACCCTGATATTGAGTACCAGTAGCAACACTTGTGTTATCAGGACAGCATCCATACTCAGTGGTTTGACAACCACAACCTTCTTTATCAGGTCCAGTGGCTGGAGTGACACCATCATCACAGCAACCATACAGTAGATTATCACAGCCACAACCTTCTTCATCAGGTCCAGTGGCTGGAGTGACACCATCAACACAGCAACCATACAGTAGGTTATCACAGCCACAACCTTCTTTATCAGGTCCAGTGGCTGGAGTGACACCATCATCACAGCAACCGTACCGTAAGTTATCACATACACAACCTTCAAAGTTTGAACCACTAGCTGGAAAGTAACCATCCTGGCAGCATCCAAAGGGATATTCTTTACAAGTACATCCAATGTACCTTAAATAATAAGAATAATAACAGTTTGTTTCATAAAAGGAAAAGCACTCATAGTTATACAAAGGTTTAAAAAAGTATTCTAATGACACAGATGACAAATTAATACAAAAAAAGTAATTAACCAGGACCTAGATAGAGATCATAAACATTCAGTTTGTAAAATATCTTATTAGTAAAATAACTTGAGATTTAAAAATTTATCAGCCTCACATTAAATTGAATGTTTTAAAAGCTTTTTATATATATCTTTTTTACCTTCATGCCTAGTAATTCACAGGAGGATGTGATGACTTTAAAAGGTGAAAACATAGTTACATCATGCCTTATAGCATTCCTTCCTCTCAAACAAATTGGTGAAAAATGATCAAACTTTCTAGTCAATTTTTATGTGCAAATACAAAAAAAATTTTTAATATCATAACCAACCATGTAAAACATTTTTTAGAAAAGAATAAACATTTATAAAGATACAAAAACAAAGTATATTACAGAATTTTTTTTAAAGATATTTAGACTTCTAAATACAAAAATAATCTAGTGAAACCTCATTTAAAGAAAAAAAAGTTGATTACACACAAATTACGTGCAGTTCATTAGCTAAGTAAAATATTAAAGCCATTAGTTAACAATCACAATCATTTGTGATATTTAATCAGTTTGAAAATATGATAAAAAAATGTTAATTATCTGTAAGAGATTAACTTTATTCCTACAAGGAATACATTGCTAATAGTTTTGTTCTTAACTAGCAGTGAAACATGACTTCAAATAATATGTGAGATTTAATTTTGTAGGAATTTCTGATAAATATTTTTCAAATGATATCTAAAGTTTAACAGAATAAATTATTTCAATTTGCTTTTATGTAACCAAACTATTTGTCTTTCAAAACAATGACCCAAGGCCTTATCTAAAGGCCTGAGTGTGAATAAAACAATTTAAAAGTTTTCTTTCCTAATACTAAGAAGTTTTATAGCACAACTACTTTCTAGTTTTAAATCAATGCCTTTATTCCTGAGCAGTATATATTTGAACTTTTTAAAACCTATTCAAGGCTGTATCCTACAATCTAAAATATGTCTACAAGCAGGGACGAAATTCTCAAAAAAAGTAGAGGTACTCAGCTGGGTGAAGTAGACCTGTTTTTGACAAAGAAAAAAAAATCTACATGTAAACATAAAAAAACAACAAAGCAGCCCAAATAAGTTCCAGTACTAATACTGCCTTAAAAAAAAAGTTCTAGTATTCAGTACCAGTGAGTACCAGTAGAATTTCACCCCTGTCCACAAGAATAAGAAAAATATTTGACTTGAAATAATAAAAACAGAAATAAGTATACATCTATTCCAAATCAAGAACAGAGAAACTGCTAACCGAGTTCTTTATAAAATAATTTATATCAGAAACGATTCTGTGTAGAAATACAGCATAACAAACTTAATGGTAAATCAGCATGTACAATAAATATCTTATTACCTAGGGCCTGATGCTGGAGTTAATTCATCAGGACAACATCCATAAGGAAATGTATGGCAGCCACAACCAAGGTTTTCTGGTCCCATTGCAAAAGTGAGATTATCTGGGCAACATCCTTGAGGGAAAGTGTGACAGCCACAACCAAGGTTTTCTGGTCCTGTAGCAGCAGTGAAATTATCTGGACAACATCCAAACTGGGATGTGAAACAACAGCCTTCATTATTTGGTCCTTGAGAAGGAGAAATGCCATCAGAGCAGCAACCAAATGGAAGTGTTGAACAGTCTGATATAATCCCTTTGTCTGGTTGTTCAGTATGGTCCACTTTTTCACAGCCTTCTAAAGCTGGTCCCTGTGCAGGTGTAATATCATCTTGGCAACAGCCGTATTCAGTTACTAGACAACACCCTTGGTTCTCTGGACCTTCAGCAAAAGTGAAACCATCAGGACAACATCCAAATGTGGAGAATAAACAAAGAAAGTCAAATTCTGTAGGCTTCAAAACTTCACAACCCTCCATATCAGGACCTGTTGCTGATGATATATTATCAGGACAACAACCAAATACAGTTTCTGTGCAACTGACAGGGCCTACTGTAATGTTCAACTCTTCACAACCTTCTCCATCTGGTCCCTCAGCAGTTGTAATATTATCAGGACAACAACCAAATACAGTTTCTGTACAACTGACAGGGCAACTGTAATGTTCAACTCTTCACAACCTTCTCCATCTGGGCCCTCAGCAGTTGTAACATTATCAGGACAACAACCAAATTCAGTTTCTGTACAGCTGACAGGGGCAACTGTAATGTTCAACTCCACACAACCTTCTCCATCTGGTCCTTCAGCAGTTGTAACATTATCAGGACAACATCCAAATACAGTTTCTGTACACCCGATAGGGGTAACTGTAATGTTTAACTCCTCACAACCTTCTCCATCTGGTCCCTCAGCAGTTGTAACATTATCAGGACAACATCCAAATACAGTTTCTATACAACTGACAAGGGCAACTGTCATGTTCAATTCTTTACATCCTTCTCCATCTGGGCCCTCAGCAGTTGTAACATTATCAGGACAACAACCAAATACAGTTTCTGTACACCTGATAGTGGCAACTGTAATGTTCAGTTCTTCACAACCTTCTCCATCTGGTCCCTCAGCAGTTGTAACATTATCAGGACAACAACCAAATACAGTTTCTGTACAACTGACAGGGGCAACTGTGATGTTCAAGTCTTTACAACCTTCTCCATCTGGTCCCTCAGCTATCGTTATATTGTCAGAGCAACAACCAAACTGTGTTTCCATGCATACAATGGGACTTTCTGTAACATTTAACTTCAGACAACCATCTTGATTTGGTCCTTTAGCTGTGGTCACATTGTCAGGACAGCACCCATACAAGCTATCTACACATGCCTCTGGTTCCCCACTCCCTTGAATATCATCACATCCATCAAACCCTGGTCCTTGTGCTATTGTTATGCCATCGGAGCAACATCCATATTCAGTTCCTTCACAATCACCAGATCCTTCTATATCATCAAGTACACTCATGGGAGTGTCAATTTCTGGACAGCCTTCATTCCCAGTTCCTGATGCTAGAGTTATACCATCCGGACAACAACCATAGGGGGAAATGTCACACATCTCATCTGAAGGAAGGTTATCACATCCAATAAAATTAGGACCTAGAGCACTGGTAATGTTATCTGGACAACACCCATAGTCTGACATTTGGCATTCAATAAATTGAGCTTCTTTACAACCAGTGAGATTTCTATCTTTAGCAAATGTTACTCCATCTGGGCAGCAACCATAAAAAGAATCTTGGCATTTTGTCTTATTAGGGCATCCTGAGTGAGTTTCATCTGATGCAGGTGTCTGACCATCATGGCAACATCCAAACACTGAATCCTTGCATCCTTCAGTACCTGGACAACCTTTTCCTCTTTCACTTTTGGCAGGTGTTAGTCCATCAGGACAACAGCCAAACTTTGTTCCATTACAAGTGTTCACTATTTGACAACCTTCCCTGAAAGTAAGATTAAATACATATTTTTAATTATAAATCCATTAGTAATTTCTAATCACAAATCCACATCTTTGGTCTCGTAAAATTACAACTTAGCTTTTCAAATAGTTAAAATAAATGATGGTAATTATTATTACTGATTGCTTTGTTTTAAATTAATTGATAATTTACATAATTTAACTTATTTTATTTTCAATATCATTAACTACACGTAAAATAATTACAATGTATGAACATTTCATACAAAATGCATTCGAAATTCATTAAAATAATTAAAAACATGACAATGAAAGTCTTTTAAATGTCATTGTTGGTGCCACTGACTAAATTAATGTAACACAGACTATTAAGTAAACTAGTTAATTTATCAAAATTGTGTGAAAGATTCTTGATAAACAAACTTTAATTCTCCCATCTTACAAATTCAATGAATTAAAAAGAAGGAATTTTACACTTATATTGAGAAAGTTAATCATAAATAAAGATTTAGTTGAGTATTTTGTGATGTATTAAAATATTAGCTGATATTATGGCATTACAACAACACTTAAATGCAAAACTTAAAATGGCTGTTAGAATAAAGATTTAAGAGGAAAAATATAGTCCGTATACTGCTGTACTGTAACCTTAAAAGTATCAAATCTGACTATTTGGAACAGATATATATTTGAAAAAGCAATTTAACCAAAACATAAAATACTTGTCACCATATCCTTACTTAAAAGGTCCAAGAGCAGGAGTTATACCATCTTTACAACAACCAAATTCAGTTGTTTCACAACCACCTTCAGGAAGAGAAAGTTTAGGGCAACTTGAAAAGTTTGGTCCAGCTGGGGTAACTCCATCAGGACAGCAGCCATGTTTGGTCTTCCTGCAACCTCCAGTCATTATAATCTCATCTGTTAAGATCAATAATGTGAAATAAATCTCACCTTGAAGTTAAAACCAAACAGTTAAATATATAACTTTTGTAACTAAATTCAGCATTCTTTTTATTCATATGCATTTGTATTTTTTAGGTTTTTGTGCAAAGCTAAACACAGCTCTATCTGTGCATAGCATTCCCTAATTTCGAACTGATAGACTATAGAGTATTTACCTCCAATTATAGGTCTATTCTTATTTGAGTGAATAGCAGAATTTGACAACCATTTCGATAAACATACCCACAGCACTAAATTTAGAACTTCGTTTTTGCATCAATGGATTACAAATCATAAATCATTGGATTCACAGTCTTGGTGTAGTAACCACAAGGCCATGCCCAACCACTTTGCATGAAGGTTTATTTTATTTTTTTACAATTCACCATATGAAATCAAATGTTCCACCACATTCAAAACATCTTTTTCTAGAATAAAAATGTGATGTTGTGAATATAGTTTAAAATTTTAATTCAATTTATTTTTTCCTAACAAATTAACCATTTCCTTCACATGCATGTCCTCTTGTTTAAACTCAACTAACTGTATCAAATTCCTATGCTACATGAACTTGAAATGTAATCCAACTTCCAGATATGCATGTTAGTATTGTTGCGT